GACAAAAAGACAAGACAGTTCTCAGGGTTTGGGCATTGTCCTCAGAGTTTTCTTCTCAAGGCTGGCACCCTATCACTTGGGCCACATCTCTAGATTTTTGCTGGTTAATTAGAGATAGGAGTCTTAATAACATCCCCCACCCCTGGCAGGGGGGCTGACTTCAAACTGCAATCCTCAGATCTCAACCTCCTGAGTGGCTAGGATTATAGGTAAGACATCAAGCCCAGCTTTCTTGTTGAATTTTCAACATTCTGAGAAAGAATGGATGGAAAATGACTACAACATACAAAACAAAAAACACTTAAAGAATTTTTGTGGCATCTCTTCCTAAGTGAAAGGAGGATAGGAAAGTTTTGGATTTAATCTTACAGGACATTGCAATTCAAAGACCATTAAATTGTGTGTAATGTACAATTCCTCCTTTGCCAGACAGAGAAGTTTCCTGATTGTACTCTTGAGATATTATAAAACATTTCTAGGGCTGCTGTTAAAGTAGTGAATTGTGCATTGGTAGGTTTTCAACAAAGTTCCTGCAGACTTCAGTCTGGTCTAAAGTTTCCTGTTTTTAGAATTAACTCCTCATGTTTCTTTGTTGTGTGTGTGTGTGTGTGTGTGTGTGTGTGTGTGTGTGTGTGTGTGTGTGTGTGTAAAAGCTAAAGATAGACCAGGAAGCATCTGAGGCCATCTGGTTCTAGAGGGGAATCCAGATTTCTATGTGGGATGGGTACTAAATGTAAATTGGGTAAACAATGTTAACTTACTATGTTAACATACTACTTGGGGTCTAACCTTTCAGTCACCATTGTCCAAAATATCCTTAACCTGCTGTACTTGGTGCTAACACTTTATGGGCTTTCATCAAGGTTGGTCTGTCTTAGGATAAATGCCATTTTAGACATACATAATTCCCTGTTGTTTTGTACGTTTCTGTGGGATTACAAAGAAAAGAAGGTATATCAGGCATTGAGTGGCTCCTGAAAGCAATGCTTCCTTCTTGGTGCCTGCTTTCCCTCTGCATTTCATTGGCCAAATGAACTGTGATTAAGAGTCAGCCAGAAGGAAAAGATTGCTAGCAACCAGGATGACTCAAGCTTGTGTACAGGCCACAGCAATATAAGGCTTTGTCTACACCACCAGTGCCACATGAGTGCATCCTAATTTAAAATAAGATGATTTTACAAGGATGTTCGTTCCTCTGTGCTCCAAAGCAAGATCTTTTGTAAGGAAGAACTGAACTGAAGGACTCTTGAACTGAAAAAGGAGAGACTGCATTTCAAGCTTTTTCCTACAGATTCCTCATTTGGCAGCTATAATGATAAAACAACATCAATAACAATTTCCTCCACGCTATCATTCTCTCAGTTTTCCATATGAAGGGAGCAAAGCTCAGAGATGTTCAGAGACTTGCCTGGGCTTACACAGCTGGTAAATAAATCAAGCCCACTCCACAATCACTGTACTTTTTCTTAACTGAGTGTTATAACAAAAACATCCTTACTGTTTAGTGAAAATATAGACTCAAAGTAGATACTGCTGTAAATGTAAATACAATTCACCTAGTGAAACTACATAACTGTATTTATTTTCTAAAAGTGTTTTATATGTTCATTTTATACCTGGAAAAACATTTTTATTTTCTTGGGAAACAAAAGGAGCATTTGATTTTGCTAGGGACTACAAAAATTATTTTGATGGTTCCAATGGTGCATAGCAGAGAGATTTCTGACAAATGCATAATCTGTTTATTGTCACCGGACTAGGGATGATTTCCAAATATTTTCTCCTTGTGGCTTTTGATTGTGCTTGGATATTTTTCAATAGCTAAATAGCATTAAAAAAAAAGTCTGCATCACAGTTGCTACAGTAAGGGTATGCCATGTTCACAAGCCCAAGTTGTGCCTCAAACCTCTTTAGCCATTTGCTGCAATCCGTTTTCCCATTCCCTGTTTGCTGGCTCAAAAGCATGCTTAACAGCTCAGATCAAACTGTCTGAAAAAGGGCGGTCTGCATCCCTCATGTTTAAAAGAGAAGGGTTTTTCGTTCCTCTCCTTCACACATCAAAGAAGGCACGCCGGGAGGAAATAAACCATAATTAGGCATGAGCGAGCGAGCAGGCAGACCCCCTCTTTGGCCTTGCCCATCCCCCTCAGCGCCCCCTCCCACCTTCCTACTGCGTCCCCCACCCCCTCCCCGAGGCCCTGGCAGGCGTTCCCGGCGCGAGCGAGGCGCGCGGGCCAGCCGCAGCAGCTGCAACGCTCGCGCGCGTCTGAATCTGGGCGGCGGCAGCAGCAGCGACGGCCAGGGCCGGACCCGGACCCTCGGGAGCGCGCGCGCTCGGGAGCGCGCTCATGCAGCGGTTTTCTTCTCCCACAATCCAGAGGCAGCGGCGCGGGAGGGGCGGGGCAGGAGGGGTGTGTGTGTGTGTGTGTGTGTGTGTGTGTGTGTGTGAGCCGGCGGAAGGATATCGGCGCGGAGGGAGCCACGCGCTCCCTCGTCCCGCAGGCTGGCGGGCGCTGGTTGGATGGCCCGGAGTGGGGTGTGCTGCGGCACTGCGGTTCCGAGGCCGTTACTCCGGCTCCTCCAGAGGGCAGAGCGGGAGGCTGGAGCGCGGCGCTGATTTTGTGTCGAGGGCTTTCCCAGAGGCGCTGCTGAAGAGACTGTGGCGGGCTCTGGCCAGCCCGAAGCTTAGGGACACACAGCGAACCCCCCAGACCCTCCTCGGGCAGGAGCACAGGGGAGGCCGGCGAGGCGTGAGGGCCGCCGAGGGATGGAGTCCGCCCGGGAGGAAGGGGCGAGCCCTGCCCGCAGGCGCTGAGGGGCTGCGGACCCGCGGAGGCTCTGCGCCCGCTGCCGAGGGTCGAGCGCAGCCCCGAGGCCGGGCCCGAGCGCGGCGGCCTCCCGGAGCCCCGGGACGCGGCTTTTCCATCCCGCCCGCGTGGGGATCCGTTCCTCGTGGGGCCGTTCGGCCGCTCGGCTGCCGTGGGCGCTGGGCAGCCTTGAGGGGCTTTTTTTTTCTTCTTTCCCTTTTTGTCCTGCCGCTCCGGCTCTCTTTCCCCTTCCTCCTCCTCCAGATGCCTTTTTTCTGCCCCTGCTCGCCGGGCACAGACGTTTGCAGCGCCGGCCGCGGCCGGTGGGGCTGTCGGGGGCGCTCCCCGGGACTGGGGCTCCCTGCCCTCGGCGGCTTTGGACGAGGGAGATTTCCCCCCAGCTCCTCGATGGGATTTTCCTGGCTGCTCGCAATGGACTTTCATTGATTCCTCCTTACTTCCCCAGCGTGCAGCGACCCGTCCCCTGGGCGTATGTTTGTGCTAGTTCCTTTTTTCCCCCCCATCCCCCCCTGCTCTCAAACACATAATCTGTTAAAAAATGGAGAACGAAATTTTCACTCCGCTTTTGGAGCAGTTCATGACCAGCCCCTTGGTCACCTGGGTAAGTGGGGTGTCCTTTATTGTATGTGTTGCGGGGTTGTGTGTGCGGCCGCGGAGATGGAGGTGGGCGTTCACGCCGCGACGATCCTTTCTGTTCCAGGTGAAAACGTTCGGACCTCTGGCCGCAGGCAGTGGGACCAATCTGGATGAGTATGTGGCTTTGGTGGATGGGGTGTTCTTGAACCAGGTCATGCTCCAAATGTAAGTGTTGTTTGCTTCGTTTCGTGCTTTTTCTTTTCTTTTTTAAGGTAACTTGTTTTCTTTGAAAAATAACATGCCATGAATTTAAGAGACGTTGGGTTTTAAACCCCTAATTTGATTCTTTGGGTCAGAAAAACTGAGGTGTTTGAAGGATTGGATCTTGAAAGGAGTGTTCAGGGTAGATGCCCAGCCCATTTATAACAACCTGTAATTTTATCTGTTACAAATTAGAAGCTTGAATTCTTCATTCGGCCAGCCTTTTTATTGTCTTTTTTTTTTGGTGTGTGTGTGTGTTCAGTGTTGAAATTCAAAACACATTGTGTCTTTGATAATGTGGACAAATGATGGAGGGAGAGAGAAAGAAATATGAATCTAGTTTCCTAAAAGGGGGGGGGGAGACCTTACTGTAAAAGTTATTTGTGTTTGAAGCAGCAGTGTTTCCTATTAACCTTTTGTGTCTACGAATAAAATGGCATAAAACTCAAAACTGATGGGGCAGTAACAGATTTCAGAATAAATTCAAGCATTTCTGATGGATGAAGATTTACGGTAGCAGGCAATTTAAATACCTATAAGTTCCCTGAGATAACCTACTGTTACTGAAAAATTACTAGATTGCTTAGTATTGGGTGAATTGTTTAAAGGTATTTTCAGATATTTATATAAGTAACTTAAATTTTGACAAGATTAATGAATTATTAGGCAAATCTTTGCCCTTTTTTTTGTACTGGGGTCTGAAGTCTCATGCTTGCTTGCTTGCTAGGCTGGTGTTCTACCACTTGAATCACATCTCTAGCCCAGCTTTTTACTGATTATTTTAGAGATGGAGTCTCAAGAACTTTTCTGCCTACGCTGGTTTTGAACTGTGATCATCTGGATCTCAGTTCTCTAGGTACCTAAATCACAGATGTAAGCCACCAGCCCTTGGCCAAATCTTTGTCTTTTATGATATTTTATTGAGGTTTATTAAATAGGAATGTGTGCCAAATCTTTGTCTTTTATCATAGAGACTTTATTGAGGGTTATTAAATAGGAATGTATATTTTTTGAGATTGGAACTGAATATTGAAAGCATGTTTTTAGCTGATTCAATGAAAAGCTATTCCATTTTATCATAAGAGGTTTTATAGTGTACATACCCTCATGTACATAAGTGTAGGTTACCAAACTGAATATTATACTTGTGCCTAAAATAATGTGTATGTACCCTTATTTGTCCTGAATAGAGCCTGATTATAAGGGTAGTTTGAAACTTTTGAAGACATTCCTATCCTTTTATATATTAGGGAATTTTATGCATTACACATACTTGTTTTTAGAAAGTAAGTCTGTTCTTCTGTAATAGCTGGACATATATCAGTTCAGTTTCATGAAAATTAGTTTGTTTGATTTTTCTATGCAAGAGATTAGATGTCAAATCCATTACTAACTGTTCTCTGAACTCAGAGATTTGTGTTTGTTTTTCCTGTACATGTTGATCCCACAGGGAAGAATTATACTGTTATACTTTTTCCAAAAACATCTTTTTTCTTTTGTTGATTGTGGGCTTGAACTTACAGACTGGCCACTATCCCTGAGCTCTTTTGCTCACGAGTAGTGTTCTACCACTTTGAGCCACAGCACCACTTTTAGGTGGTTAGTTGGAGATAAGAGTTTCATGGATTTCCTGCTGAGATTAGCTCAGATCTCAGATCTCAGCCTCTTGAGTAGCTAGGATTACAGGGGAGAGCCACCAATACTTGGCCCAAAACATGTTTTTGTATAGCCATCCAAAGAGAAAAATATACTGTCTTAATGTATTTAGGTGTATATGTGTATATATATATTTTTTTTTCTTAGGAAACTATACTGTCAGTATTATTTTAGGGTTAGTAAATATAAACAGCCACCCATGGAATTTTTTATTTGAAATATCCCACTGTTTCCTAAGCAAAATGTAGAGTGATGAAATGATATTTTAGCAATGATGAAAAATAACATTTTAATAAAAATAATGAAAAAATACTAATATTTTAGGGAACACCTTTGACAGGAAGGTAGCCATTATGTTACATATTCAGAACTTTATCCTTATGTTTCTTTACTTGGTTAGTTTTAGACAGGAAAGTCTGAATTAGTGGAATGAATCCTTAAAAAAAGAGAGATGGGTTTGTAAAAAAAAAAAAGGAAAATATATTACTTTTACATTAATGAGTTTTATTTAGATGATACTTTTTCAAAAATATTTCAATATTTTTAATGCTAACAGCAAAAATGTGTCAACATGTTTACACTTTTAAGCACACTTATATTTTTAAAAAATACATATATGTTTATGTTGGAAATGATGATGTTCCAGAGTAGTGGTTACCAGGTTGTTTTTTGGAGCACTGGTTGCTTTCTAAACCTCAAATCCACTTCTGTTTTCAGTTCCACCTCTCAGTTTCTGTAGCTTTTTTCAATGTCCTCATTCTGTTCTGAATGACCTAAATAAGTTAAGGGAAAGGAAATTAGGGAAAAAAGAAAAGTAAGCTCTTGTTTTCTTAAATAATTTTCTAGAATCAGATCAATACATATTTACTTATATAATTTATTTAAGTGGTAAGGCAACAAAATAATCCATAATTTTAAAAGCTATATTTGGCTGCTTTTGAAATAGTATTTTTCTTTACTCAGATAACCAATTTAATGCACCTTATTAAAGTGGCCTTCGAAACACTGTACCTTAAGGTTAGTTAGAATGTAAAAGTTAGCCTTTGTCTAAGTAATTACATTTGTTATAAAATCATGAGTGAGAACCATATGTAAATGAAACTGTTCGTATGTTTACTTTATGTTCCTTTTATTTGCAGTTCAGTAAACTTTGGGTTTGTAGATTTTTAAAAAAAAATCAAATCTGGAAAAATTACAGGTACTATTTCTTTAAATATGTGATATATATATGTATGTATATATATATATATATATATATATATATTCCTCTTTTTGGAAGTCCAGCTACATGTGTATTAGGTTGGTTGAAGTTGTCTTAAATCTAACTGATACTTATGTCTTTTTCTTTTACCTTTCTTGTCATTTCATTGGATAGTCTACTGTGATACCTCTAAGTTTATTTTTTGGTCTATAATATTTAATTTACTGTTAGTCATATGCAGCATGTATTTGATTTCAGACATTATATAGTTTAATCTGTAGAAATTCGTTTTTGTGCTTTGTCTTTTTAGCTTCTTAAACATATAGAATGCAGTTATAACTAGCTTATGTTCCATTCCTACTAATTCTGTTTGTGTCATTTCATTTCACTTTGGTTTTTCTTCTCATTCTTGTATTGTCTTGCTCTTGTAGCCTTGTTAATTTTTATTTGGTGTCATTGTTGAAATTTTGCCTTGTTGTTGGTTATTGGTTATTTTTATATTCCACTGAATGCAGAAATCTTGAACTTTGTTCTGGAATGTAGTTAAGTTACACTGAAAGAGTTTGATCCACTCAGGACTTTGAGTTTTCAAGTTTTGTTAAGCACTACTACTTTGTTGTACTGTTGAGGCAAAACCCCTGTAGTAATCTGGCTAGTTCTGTTTCAGAGTGTTTATTGCACTAAATAGATTTCCTCTTCTCTGTTCATGGCTTAGGAACTATTTCAAGTGAATAAGCTGGGTCAGTTCTTGGACTTAGTTTTGTTTCTCATCTATCAAAGATAACTGGTTTATTGCTTGATGTCCAGTGTCTTGAAAAACATTTAATATATTTTGTCTTTTTTTCTAGTTGTTTCAGGCAAGAGAGTGAATTTGATTCCTATTACTACGTTATAGCAAGAAGTACAAATCTGTCTTATACACTTTTATTACGTTTTTGACCTACTAGTCTTTTCTTACTGCTTGATGTGACATAGACTTTCATTATGGAAGGCTTACTATAGAGTCTTCATCTAAAACATTTATTTGAAGAAGAATATTGATTAAGTTATTGATTCCAGTGTTGTCATTTTGTAACCAGATGCTGAAAATGAGGAGTTGACCTCAATGACTTCTTGTATGCTTTTGAAGTCTGTTCACTGATTTGGGATTTAGTATATTGAAAGATGCATCTTGGATTTCATTGAATAGCTCCTTGTATGGGGAGAGAGGGAAATGCCCCTAGGAACTTGTGAGGAGACATCAGCCATCTTTAACTAATGGGAAGGGAGAAGCTATTTAGAAATCTGGATGATAGACCAGCCGTTCTGTATGCTGCAGGGCATTTTCCTATTTCAGTCCTCATGCTAGTTTTAAGGCTTGGTAACAGTGAAACAGACATTATAATTTTTCTGTTTGAGAAACTAGTTTTATAACTGCTATTGAATATTACGACCTTTTAAGGAATTTATGTACATTTATAATCTTCAAGGGAGTGCTATTAACACTGTCTAAGCAGCTTAAAATATAAATGGGGTTTAATATTAACAGTTTAAATACTGAGAAAATTATTAGCATCAGAACAATGTTTGAAATTGATTTTTATGACTCAACCCATTAATTAACTCTAAAGATCTATATTTAAAATATTTTATCATTTTTATATACTTATATATGCTTTTTGTTGTTGTTGTTGTTCGGTCCTGGGGCCTGAACTCTGGGCCTGGGCACTGTCCCTCAGCTCTTCAGCTTAAGGCTAGCACTCCACCACTTGAGCTACAGTGCTACTTCCGACTTTTTCTGCTTATGTGGTGCTGAGGAATCAAACCCAGGGCCTCATGCATGCAAGGCAAGCACTCTACCAATGAGCCACCTTCCCAGTCCCTATATATGCTCTTTAAAAATTACTATTATTTTATTTACTTATTTTGGTGGAATTGGGGACTGAACTAAGTGCTTTGAACATGCGAAGTGATTATTGTACATTGAAGTACAACCTCACCTCCAGCCCTGTTTTCACTTTGGTTATTTTTGAAATAGGATCTTGCTTTAGTGAGCGTGAATCTTTTATTTATTCTTCCCTTGTAGCTGGGGTGACACACATGCACCACCATACCCAGCTTTTTCTGT